ATCGAACTGTTGGAGCCCAGGGGAGTCATAAATGGACCGTTTAGCGTGCCGACGCACCTTAGTCAATGGCGGAAGAAGCTATCCTTTGTGTAAATCCTTCCAATCTGCCAGTGCTCGAGCCCTAGAGCACATTACGCGGGTTCAAATCGGCGGCATTCATCGTTATGAGTCGCCCGTCCGCCTCGTTTGGTCCATCGTCCCGCCGCAGCAGGTTAGATGGCGTGCTGAACATCGGGATGCTGGCATTCGTGTTAGTGCAAGTAATAGCATGGACGGACAAGTCGTGCGGCTCGGTCATCAGCGCCTGCTCCGGGCGCAGGTCGTACGACGAGTGGACCACCGTTAAGTTGAAGCGTTGCATGGAGCAGAGCAGCGTGCTCTGGGCCTCTTCCCAAGCGGAATGGTTGGCCTTGGAGATCGGGCGTGAGCCGCGTGAGGGACGAAGAAGTCTGTGGACATACAATGCAGGCATGCATGGCATAGCCGGTCGGCTGCGAGGAGCCCGGCTGGTGTCGAAGGATCAAACGTAATTCAAAAGTATGCTGCGCGTATGCTCAGCCTTGAGCTCTTCCGCCTGCGTGTCCAGTCAACAAGACAGGCTATAACACAGCTCGATGGCCGATTCTGCCCTGCGTATATCACACAAAGGAGCAGTTGACAGCGGCAGGTCACTCACCATCTAGCCTGTCCTCCGCCTGTCTCCCTTCGCTCGTTACTCTTGCCTACTTGGGTCGAAAGATCGCGAAGCCAGTATGTTTCGAAATCAGCAGCTCTTCGCGTCGAGAACTCGGCTCCGCTTGCCGTGGACAGTATAAGGACGAGCTATTGGAGACATCCGGCGAAAATGGCTCGCGCGGACAAAACCCGAAACCTGCAGCATGGCAACGCACGAGCGGAGAAGGTTCTCTGGATCCGTGATGCGCTCGAGCTTGTCCAACGCCATGGTGTGCGGCCTCGGGGGACGCTCTTCCTTGCCGGTGCGCAGGTTCTCCGGCGTGGTATGGCGGCATCTAGTACGGCGGTGCGGCAGCTCGGCACCCAGCCACTGATCGCTATGGCCTTGTCTCCGTTGGAGGTGGCGGGTCAGCAAACTTTTGGTGTTAGTCTTCCATGGGATTCCCGTTGTCATATTCTTATCGTGCTGTGACTCTTGGGTGAGCCTACGAGAAAGGTAATGGCAGACACACTCACAATTCCAAGAGACGCAGAGGTCACTTCGAGCTTCAATCAACGAGGGCGCGGGCGAGCATCCTTTAGAGACGATCAGAGAACAGCGTTACATGTGATAGAGCGATCACGCACCGTTGCGCGCCTGAGTTTCACCGCTGCCCAGCAGCTACATCATCCGGGCGCCGTGAACCTGCATCGGTTGTCCCGAGATGGCAAATGGAGAGATGCAAGGAAGCGAGCTGTGTCGGGTCCTACAGAGGCAGATACAAGGTGATCCAATTGCAGCAAGCGGCGGCCACGGCTGTGCAGCATTATCACAAATGCCGGTTGAACTTGAAAGTAACGGATATGGTGATATAGCTGTACGTTGAGTGTTAAACCGTCGAGTGCGAACACGCTGACACTTATGGCTGCAACCAAGATAGATTTAAAAAAGTCCGCAGGTTGCAAGGATGTGAGGGCGGATGTAATGTAGGAGGCTGAACGGTGGGCGACACCAGCGTTGTGCCGGTCAGTGACTGGTCAGTGACTGGTCACTCTGGTCAATGACTGGTCAATGACCGAGTCAGACATGACCATGACTGGCCGGTTTTCCGGGTCCCACCTTGGCGGCCAACCATCTCGCAGGACGCCATCAGGCCCCGCCGTCCATTGAGGTCTGTCCCACCAAGCGCTCGACCCCGGCATTTCGCTTGCGTGGGATCACGAAACCGCCCAGTCATTGACCGTAACTCGGTCATTGACCCATCAGTGACCAGCTGTCAGTCAATGACCGTGACTGGGATGACTCGGTCATTGACTGCCCAACGCTGGGCGACACACCTACAGCGACAGCGTCCAGCCATTTGCCTCGTGAATACGACTTTCACAAGGACATGATTTCGCAGCGTTTGCTTCGTTTCCGCCGCCTCGGATTTCCGCGGTCGCGGTCGCGCTTCCGAGGCGTCCGAATACCAGACGCGACGAAGAGGCAGGAAGGGGAGAAGTTCTCACCCGCCAATGGCCGGCGAAGTCAGGACCCGTGTTGCCGAGCCAGCGTCTAAAGCAGCGCCGTTAAGCGCTTTCAATAGCCGCTGTGGCGCAACCAAAAGACTTGTAACTCTACTTGTTTGAAAATCCTGACGATGTTAAACAAGACACCATCGGTAAGCGTCACACGTATGGAACCAGTCACATTCAAAGTGCTGATAGGCGACAGGCCAAGTCACCTATAAACCATGCAAGTGGTTGCCTGCCGTTCAATACAGCTCGTCTCCCCACCTCTCCCGCATCGACTGTGTCTGCACAGTCAAACCAAGCTCCTGCCCAAGCCGACTACCAGCTGTAATTGTTTCTCTTTCTTGCAATTGACCACCCAGTACTCATAATTTTGTGTTTTCAGTGCCACAGCCAACTATTTCACTGCAGCCGCCTCGTGCAAGTACATTCTTCGCTTCCCATCGCGTTATTCACATAGCATTCACCTCTCAGGTCTCGTTGTCTACGAGCTCCTAATTACCATTAGTGACGAGATTAACATAGTCTGGAAGAGACCTATTACCACACCCGCCGTACTCCTTGGCTCGGTACAATGGTGTATGCTCCTCGGGGCCATCCTGCCGTCAACTCAGAATGTAAGCTTTAAATATCTTTGGATATGTATTATCTACGACAATACTTGTTACAGACGTAAGTGTAGCTTGTCTGGGGCTCGTGGATCACAGGTTGCTTATCAGACGTAACACACAGCTGCGCACTGCTAGAAATTTTGGCCTGGATACTTATCCTCGTTGGGTTGCTCTGAAGTGCACGTACGTCTCACCAAGCTTTCTCAGGAAACGCTGTTCCTGAGTTCCACTTGTTAGTGTTTTTGGCCCTGCGCATGTTCGCAATCTGGAACAGAAACTACGTCTTGTCACTGGTAGTTTTTGTACTGAGCATGCTGCCATTTGCGACGAATATAGTACGCACCATTTTTGCTCAAACCTCGTATGTGCTCTAGCTGATAGTTCTATGTAGTATAGCGCGGTGGAGTCAAAGTCCGGATTCATCATGGACCCGCTCGCCAGAATGACATGCATCCGAGAGCCTCTGTTTTCTGCACGAACAGTTAGCATGTACGCGCACATATCTCTCTATGCTATAGTTTCGGAGCACTGAAAATTGTGTTACGCAGACGTACGTCCTACCATCAAAGTACTAAAGTACTTCAGCATGTCGGTAATACTGGCACCGCCTGTGGTTAGTAATATACACCACTCGTGGCCCGCTCATCCTCGCTGACACCATCGTACTCGTCCTAACGTGGATAAGTACATTCGGAAAGTGGAAGAATGCTCACCGCCTCAACATGAGGGCGTCGCTGACAACGTGCCTGCTACGTGATGGTGAGTAGTCTTGTGAGCACCTTCGCATTTCATGTTGTTAAAACCCGCCTGCCCATGCAGGGACTATATATTTCATGTGAGCACCATGACAAAGCCACATTAGAATGAAATTCTCACAAGCGACGGCGAACATAGAGCTCTCCTGGCGATAAGCATAACCCAGTTTCTGACCGATAGCCAATCCGTATGTCCCTGACATGAGTATGCGGGCTGATAGCTGACGTAGAGCTTGAGGAACTACTACTCACGCGCGCGTTGATAGCGGACCTGGTGCGCATCCTACCTTTTGTGCGCTTATCCGTACTCATGGGAGTGATCGTGCAGCCCTTGGTGCTCCTTGGCCGCTTCATGATCAACCTCCGGACGGCCGGCTCGCCGATGTCAGACCATTCTCTGCACATCAGTTTTCGGCAGCAAGAACAGTCGACATTGCAGTTCAGAAAACCGGCAGACCGGTTGGGAACTATTGGGGGAACGCTACAGGGCAGCTGGAGCGACGACTTGCGACGAAGAGAATGAAGCCGCAGGGGTAGACGAGGAAGGGCGCCGTGAGGCTAGCACTTCGAAGTTCGGAAGCGATGATTGAACCAGATCTGGAAATAGGCTCTGTTCCAGGCGGATAGTGGCGTTTGTAGCTTATACAAGCGAGATACTCGAATTTTATGACACCGTAATCGATTTGTGTGCCTTCGGGCTCGGCGGTGCATGAAAACATGCATTTTGGGGTGGTAGTGCACCTCAAGTAGCTATCCTAGATGGTGACCTTCAGTCGCGACAAATACTTTATCTACCTGAACGCTTTCAATCAGGATTCCCACCATATCCCGGGCTTAAGTATTCCACTGGTATTATTAACATGGTTAGCTGCGGAACGTTTCTTTCTGACGTGTCACTCACGACGTAATTCTCAGTAGATGGGTGGCGCATTCGATTATCGCAGTTCAGGTGCCGGCTGCTCCTGCAGGAGCTCATGCAGCACCTTCGCCGACCAGACCGGCACTTAGACGGGGATCGCACCATGGCGCAACGGCTTTCACGTCCGAGAGCACAGCGTTGCCGCCCAGAGACGTTCAGCGATACTGGCTCGCGCGGACAGATTACGGGACATGCATCATCGTAACGCACGGGCTGAGGAGCCTCTCTGGCTCGACAATGCGCTCGAGGTCATCTAGCGCCATCGTTTGCAGCGTCAGGGGCTACTCTTCCTTGCGGACCCGCGTGATCTCCGACGTGATATGTGAGACATAGGGCACGGCGATGTGATAGCCTGAATCCCAGCTGGCAATCCGTGCGGAATTGTCTACGTCGAGAACGGCCGGGTCCTGGGGAAGGGTGAGCAGATCCACGTCTGTCGGATTTGTGCAATACAGAATTGACGGTGGGTCTGCAGACATACACTGTCAGCTATCTCTAGGTGCGCGTATATTTGATGCGCTGCACGTCATTCCGCGGCTGATTACGGGTCTGTAGGCATAATTTATCGGGGCTTGTTGTATAATTGGACAGTGTATGTCAGAAAAGCCATGCCACCCTGAAACGAGATGCAGTTGATGTCCGTCAAGAGAATGAAGTCTCACACGCACGTCTGGTTGTGTCGTAATCATCAATCAAGGACAGCGCGCCAAGAGCAAATTGCAACTTTGTTGGGTCGAGTCCCAGCATTTGTCTTCGGACTCGGCGCGCAGGCATCACATGCCCAATCAAAACGGCCGATCTTATCTTATCTTCGATCCACTAGCCTCTCTCAGGCGCCCGGGGCCGGGACCCGCGAGCAAGATAAGATCAGATCACGGGAGTCACTGAATGTCGTAATAAACTTGTGCAGCGACTTGCCGCGAATGCTAAGGAGTGCAATTATGTTTTTAGGTCGTTATAAAGCGTACACTGCCAGTGGAGCGAACAAACGGCACAGGATACTTATTTTAAACTCCGACACTCATTCTGGCTGTGGACGAAAGGAGTTACCTCGGGTATATCCCTCCCTCTCAGCTCGTTCTGCTTGATATTAGTTCATGTACATGAAAATTTAATCTACCCTGACAGTGCGTTTCGCTCGAGTGCCCGACACTGCTGGCTAGCACGTAGAGGGTGTAGTAATCCTAACAGCATCGCGCAGTAAACTCGCGAAAGTGGCGATCGTCGTGGATATCAGACAGGGAGTAGCAGCTCGTGCCGCGAGTCGCGCATGATGTAGTGTCAGTTCACGGGTTGCTCGAGGCCACCCTCAGAGTCACTGCGCGCCCAGATGTGCCGGACGAGGCGCCTGACCTCCGCGACGTTCTCGACCGTCTCGCGCTGCTGCATGTCAAGGATATACATCAGGACTCAGAAGCGCCGCTGCTCCTGGCTGTCGGTCAGGCAGCCGCTAATGCAAATTTTAGACATGACACCGCGGAGCGCAGGTCGGAAGATGTCGTTCATCAGGTGGTGTCGCAGCCCCACCTCTAGGCGCTCCGTGCCCGGGCCCCGTGCCTGCAGCGAAGCCGTACGCTACGCTCGGCGAGTTATCTCACTGGCACTATACCTTTGAAGTGTAGTTGACTTCTCGGGACAAGTTTTCGATGTCTTTGCCGGAATCGGATCCTATGGCGGAGCCGATACTCACGCGGTAGTTCCACCGACCTAGACACGCCAAAGTGCCCGAGTACAGTTGAAACAAGTGTTACTGTAAGCTCGCCCGACAGCTTGCTTTGTAGGTATGACGAGTCGCTTGGTTTTGACAATCGCTCTTAACTCCACCCATTAGATTAAAACCTTATCTCCCTTCTCAAAACGTCCCGAGAGCTTGCGCCCTGAGATTTCTCGGCCAAGATGGGACTCGTCATGCCGACTGATTCGAATCCAGCAGGCTGTGAGCTCTTCAAGCTGAGCCAAAGCCACATCTCTCCGAAAAGCAGGAACATTCGGGCAAATCACGAACTGGAACCACTATCTCAGCATCTGAACCAAACTGGACCTTCGACCATGCCACAGATCCAGTGCGGCGGTTAGGGTTCCGAACTACGGCCCTGAACACAGCCATGGCCAGCCTAGGCAATGCCAGGCCTGCATAACATCAGTTCAAGCCCGCTCAATAGATTGAAAAAGAGCCGATAACTCTTTTTTCCCCTTCATCGACTATGTCGGCACAGTCCAACGAAGCTGCATACTCACAGTTGTAAGCATGGCCACTGTTTTAAGCTGCACTTGGCGACCCAATACTCATATCTTCATCTTTCAGTGCCACGGCAAACTATGTCGACATAGCTGCCACGGGCAAGTACATCCTTGGCTTCCCATCATTGCGTTGCTCACATAGCATCTGCCCCGCAGCCCTCGTGATCTACGAGCTTTTGATTACCATTGATGGCGAGGCTAGAATTATATGGAAGAGACCTATCACCGCACCTGCCGTGCTCCTCGGCTCGGTACGATGGTGTATGCTCCTCGTGGCCGCCATACAACTTGCGCCGACAACTCAAAATGTAAATTTCGAGTGTTTCTGACTATGTGTGATCTTTGACAATGCTCGTTACAGGAGCAAGTACAACTTTTCTGAGGCTTATGCAACAAGTTTTTCACCTGAACTTGACGTGCAGCTGTTCACCACTTCAAATTCTGAACTGGGTTCTCGACCTTATCGGATTTGTCCAGACCGCACGTACGTCTCATGTAACTTGTTCAAGCCAAAAATGCTCGCTGACTTCCACGTACCAGTCTTTTCGGCCCTGCGCGTGTTCGCGATTTGGGACAGGAGCTACGCTTGGTCGCTGGTAGTGTTCGCACTGAGCATGGTGCCGTTCGCGACAAATTTGGTATATACTACCCCTGCTCCGAACCCGGCCTATGCTCTCGTTGACACTCCCATGCAGTATAACGCGGTGAATTCGAGTTACGGATCTGGTACGGGCCCGCTCATCGGAGTGGCGTGCACTGAGGAACTTCTGTTCTCTGCACAAAAATACAATACGTGGGTGCACATATCTAACCGCCACACTTTTATGGTACTAAATAATCGAGATATAGGCGTACGTTCATGGCCAGAGCATTCTAACATACCGGGGGCACTGATGTCGCTTGCCCACAGTTGTGTACATCACACGTAGCTTGCTCATCCTCAACGACGCGATCGTGCTCGTCCTGACGTGGATCAAGACATTCGGACACTGGAGGAGTGCCCGCCGAGTCAACGTCAAGGCATCTCTGACGGCGTGTTTACTGCGTGACGGTCAGTGGCCTTGTGCGCGCTTTCGCGTCCCTGTTGTTAACACCCAGCTGTACCTGCAGGAACTGTCTATTTCATGTAAGCGTGGCTCGTAAGCCTCATCAGAAGGAGCTGTTTACAGATGACAATAAACGTAGAACTCTCCTATCACTAAGCATAGCCCAGTTGCTTACTTACGACGCCTCTGCAGTACGTTCCCGACATGAGCACGTGGTCCAATAGCTAACGTCGAACCTAAGAACTCAACACTTGTGGGAAAGTTTATAGAGACCTTGGTACGTACCCTACGCTCCGTTCGTCATTTTTGTATTCATTGATTACCCACGCAGCCCCCGGTGCTAATTAATCGCTTCATGATCAATCTGCGGGCGGTCGACTCGGAAATGTCGGGCGACTCTGTGGACATGAGTGATTCGCAGCAAGGACAGTCTACACCGCGATTTATAAAGCCAACGGACCGGTTGGGAAATCTCGGGGAAACACTGCATGATGGCTGGAGCGACAAGCTCTGGGACGATAAGTATGATACCTCAGGAATGGACGAGGAAAGAGACTGTGAGACCGCTGCTGAAGCATGAACCGCCATAGAATATTGTATGTACCAGGCTCGCTAGTATGCTTTGTTCGCAACGGACAGTATCATTTGTAATCTTGCGAGCGAGAAAATTGAAGCTTATGATATCGAATGATACCAGCCGAGCAGTATGCCATCAGGCTCCCGGAACGCAATTAGCTCCGAGGTACACTGCAGAAGCTCTGCAATAGTCCTGTAAATTAGGGGACTTACGCGGAGATATGCATGCTATAGGTGTGCGCGCTGGCGAACGGAATACGGCTGCGCAAGTGGGAGCTCACATTCAGAATTCTCGCCCGCTTAGCTGGTAAGCATCGTGAGCTCGTGCATAATCTGTATCTGGGAACTTTCTAGTGCTTCGAAGAGTGAATCGTGCTGGTCTCCGTGCATTAGCGTCCTAATAAAATGCAGCGCTATAAGACGCTGCGAGCCATGGACAGAAATTTGGAGCGAGGTCTTTCGATAACTTCGCAATTGTGAATAACGAGGAGGTCACAACAAATGAAGAATTCGTGCGGCTTGGTCGTCAGAGTCTGCTTCAGGTCCAGTCGTACGACAAGAAAGCCGTCATGAAGTGAAGCACCGTTTAAGGTATACCACCATGATCTGGGGTTCTTACCGGACGAATGGTCGACTTTGTTGGCAAAGCGTGAGCCGCGTGAGGGCAATATAGAAGCTAGCGGACATACTATGCAGGCACGCACGCCATACCCGAACGGCTGCCAGGAATTAGGCTGGTGTCGAAGGGTCGAACGTGGTCCAAAAGTCTGCTGACACGAATGCTCACCGGTATGGCCTCAAATTGGCCGCTGAGCCTCGGCCCGGGCATGAACCCCTCTGCCTGCGGCTCAAGTCAGCAAGACAGATGGTCCATAGAAGCGTAATCCACACGCCATCGCCCCAGATCTCCATGTCCCATTGAACGTTGCAGGTGCTACACATGATAAGGGTGCATTTTAAACAGCGTAATTACCGCTGCCGGTAGTAAGATCTTCATGCGGCGGCATCCTGCGTCCTCAGGCGGATAGGACGAGGCATAACGAAGCACTCAGGACAGCTGGAATATCCGGAATCAGCAAGGTGAAGAAGTATCTGAAGATGGCATGCATGTTCACCAATGAGGTACGGCGAGTTGTGCACGTTGTCTAATGTCATCGGGACGGTCACCGTTCTCATAGTGCTCTTCCCTTCGCGGGGGTTCTTCCGGATGTAGCGCATCATAGCCGTCAGCATTCCCGAGGTCAGCTAAGTCTTAGCCTAGTCCAAGGGACGTTCTTTAAGGGTGCACCCAAAGTAGTTTCACGTCCTAAATGTACGATATTTTATTGACCCCTCATCTTCAGTTTAGCTTTGAATACGAACCGGTAATAACGAATGTCCGCAGCCGTAACAGAATGGTCAAAGATCAGTCGAATCGAAACTAGCCGTATGAATACGCACGCTCCGCCCGACATCGCCCTCCGCCGTCTCCAGTTCCGTCTCCTTATTCGTTGTACGGTACTCGTATTTAAGATATCCTTCTCGTTTGTAAGATGTGTGCCCTACGTTCGGCGAGAACTATCCAAATGAAAAATTAGCATTCACGCGGAGAATGTGCCACATTACCAGAGGGCACGCACTCTCGTCGACATAGCTCATGAGCTCGTCAACTTCCCGCTGGTGCCTCGCGTTATCGCTCCATGTGAACAGTGCCACTGTCGCCAGCCTCCGAGCACATTTTCTGCTCTCCAAGAGGAAGCAGATCAGTCGTCCTACGGACGAAGGGATGCACACCATTCTACTAGTATTTACTCAGAAAGCGGCCAGCAGCTCATGAATCAGGGGAGCGCGTATGAAATGGAACGCGTTCAGCCTACTAAGAATTTGTCAGCCCATCGAGAGCGTACAGAAAACGCACAGGCTGACTTGGCGGGCATCGAGCGGGAGAAGATCGCTTCGGGCGTCATGGGCGCGAAGTCTTCGATCAATATATCTTGTGGTATGGTCCGCCGCTGGAGACCGGACGCGGAAGAGCATGGCTGCTGCAGAGCTGATGTGCGGTTTTGCACGCGTGGAGAAATCTGGTAAACTGGGAACATCGCGCGTGCACATATAGTTGACGCGTCGCACGCCGTTCTGCGGCTGGTTGCTGGTCTTTAGGATGCTGCAGGTCGGGAGTCACTATACAAATGGACAGCAAATGACAGAAAAACCATGCTACCCTGAAACAAGCGAAACACAGTGGTATTTATCACTCACTGATGAAATCCAAGTGACGAACGGAGAGGCCTACTTGTGTCGTAAACTGAGTCATCGTTTGTGCTCAGGCGAAGGCCTCCGCTCTCTGCGCCATGCAAAGGGTCGCGGGGGCAATACGACCGGGCCAACGTCAGTGACTCAGTACGGCCCGCCAATTTTTGCATCGACAGCGCAGAGGTCGAAGACAAGCCCAAAATTGAGATTTGTAGGACAGAGCAAATTTTGATTTTGTGGCGTCAAGCCTCGGCGTTTATCTCGGGGCGAAACGGGCCCGTCGAAGCTCGGCATTGTCGGCATATGAGCGTCACGTCCCCAATCAAGCGATCTATCTTATCTTATCTCCCTCGTCCGCGGACCCCGGTGTAAGTACACCCCTCTCGTTCATCAATATCAAGCTTTCAAGTGAGAACCGGTAGCTTCGGGAGATAGGGCATTGAAGGTGCTGAAGGCTGTGACAGTAATAACGACAGCGACGAAGAGCATGTGCCTGAGCCACGGAGTCACTGGCAACTCCGCTTCCCGGCCTTTACCCAATGGCAGCTGATATACTGCAGCAGCGTGCAAAGTACAGAAAGCAAACGGCCACAGCCTTGGCTGCGGTCACTAGATGAAATCCGCGCATGTATTGTCGAAAGGTACTTTCGAACACACGCCTGGCAACGAACGAGCCCTTGCCCTACCTTCGTCAGTCTACCGCCCATTTGATTCACTACTCGCGAGATCAAATGCACATATCCAGAAGAATACCTACGATTCCTGGTAAGCGGGTCAGTCTGATTATGTGTCTCTCCCATGAGCTTCGTTCTCATTGCCTGCACATGACGCTGGCACTTGGCAATACGATACCGAATCCCATGATTCTGCGCTCTGGGAGTCTCGGCCGCCGCATAACGCTTGAACGACTTCAGATGTGATTAATTCTTCAATATTCTGCCGTTGACTCACTCTCCAATGAGCTCTACATCTCGGCCAACTCGTCCTCGGTCTAGGCCTTCGGATTTCGCGCCTGCTACTGCAATGCCGACGGCAGGTAACATTCTCAACGTGTCGTGTGCTTCTTCATACTTCTCTCGCAATTCTTACAGTCGTCTTCTGGGCAATACTTGGCTTTGGCATGGTGTGGGCTCGGCTCGGCATGAGAGTCGCGGCATCGGCCCACCTGTAGAGTTCATGGCTTGCCAGAGGCGTGATCCATTCTCCGGGCTGTGTCGAGCCGAGCCGAGCCGCCAGGCTGCGGCCCAAGCAACAGCCTGCAGGAGATATGACGAGAAAACGTTGAGCATCAACGACAATGGTGAACCTTTTCTCATTCAATTTAACCATATCGAGTCGTGGCTTTGATAAGTGCTATCAACCGATGACCATCTGTGCGCTGCAGCACATCCAAATATAGTGCGTGATCATATCTCAACGGCATCGGACTTGTCGTGCGTTCGAACAGGTTAACGGCAGGCCGTGCTTGGGTAGCAGACTGGCAAAACGCCACTTGATATTGGTTGGGCGCAGCGTGGCGGCTTGTACCAGGGCTGAGCCGCGGGTTGCCTGAGCCGCCGCACTCCTGAGAGCTTGCCACGGTGAAGATCTGACTTTTCTCTAGCAGTAATGACTTAGGTAGCCCAACGGCCTGAAGTCGGCGGCATATCGAGCGTCTCCCTCGGGCTAGCGGGAACTATGGCAATGGCGAGATCACATGACCGTCATCAAACTCGAGATAAGAACGGTAAAAACGCATTTTTGTTTGTTATAAGCATCTTCGCACCAGCCAAGCGGCCCCAATGCACCAGATATCTGTTACAGTGACTCAACAAGCACAAGGTATGCGAGGCGCGGATCCAGTTCACTCGTTGGATACATTGCATAATCCTGGTATCAGCAACCTCGGAATATCGGCGAAATCAGTTTCCATACCAGGCCAGCAGCAGATCAATGAGAAGTGCTGCAAGTGGACACGAACTGCTATAAAGCCTAGGACGATCGTTTTCAAAAGACGCTGGATAGGGTACGGAATGATCGCAATGTCCCGACTGAGGAGCCCGCGGTGGTGAAATCAATGACTTTCTGGGCGACGACAATCATTCTTCAGTTAGCTATATCGACCTTTGCTGTTTCAGATAACTATGTCTGGTTTGGATGCCAGCTTCAACTCGGACGTGGTCCGCTCGCGATGGGATGAAGCCTTATTTGAGTCTGTGAGTCAGCCTCTTCAGAAGTTCAGGTTCGGCGCTTTGAGAAGTGTTTCATAATCTCCAGCGAACACTGATAGCAAAGGTCATACATTCATCATGATGCTAATAGATGGCCGTCCAAGGTGCTAATAAACCGTGAAAGTGGCGGGCTATCCTCAGTACAGCTCGCCTCCTGGTCCTCCTCACTCTCCTGCATCGATTATGTCGGCAGAGTCAGAGCAAGCTCTCATACAAGCCTACACGCAACTGTAAGCACCCTTGTGGTTGCATTTGGCAGGCCAATGCTCATGCTTTCTCCAAGTAACACGGACACCTATATTACTGCAGCTTCCGCATGCAAGTATATTCCTTGTTTTCCATTGCGCTGTTCACATCATCTGCTCCCCCCCTCAGGCGTTGTCATCTACGAATTTCTTATTACTAGCCATTGCGAGGCTAAGATTGTGTGGAAGAGGCCTGTAACTGCATCGGCCGTACTCCTAGGCTCCGTACGATGGTGTATGCTCCTCACGGCCGTCATGCAATTTCCACCATCAACCCCAAATGTAAGCTTCTGAACATTTCTAAATTTGTAGTCTGCACTAATGCTCCGTGTAGGAGTAAGCGCACTTCGCTTGATTGGGAAACAGGTTGCTCACCGGAACCCGACACACAGCTGCCCACCAATAGCAATCTTTTCCTGGGTGACTATTCTCGCTGGATTCCTCCAGGTTGCACGTACGTATCGCACAGGCTGCTCAAGTTGAAATTGCTCAATGACTTCCACACGATAGTATTTTCCGCGCTGCGCGTGTTCGTGGTCTGGAATAGGAGTTATGTCTGGTCATTGATAGTTTTCACGCTGAGCTTGGCACCATTCGCAACAAATCTAGTATGCAAAGCCTCTACCCTAGCTTCGGATGCGCATTAATCAACCCTCTACGCAGCACAACGCGATAAGGTCTGAGTATAGTGCCATCGCTAACCCGCTCGGTGGATTATCGTGCATCTCCGAACCTCTGTTCTCTGGGCGAGTATCCAATATGTGGGTATACATATCTCGCTGCTGTATTTTCTAGGTACTAAAAGCGTGCATTATAGACGTATGTTCTATTGTCAAAACTTTTGCAAGCTCTGAGAAACCGATGACCTCAATTGTTTGTTTACAGTCGCTTATGTCACGCGCGGCTCACTCGTGCTAGCCGACACCATCGTGCTAGTCCTGACGTGGATCAAGACATTCAGACAGTGGAGGAATTCCCATCGCCTAAACGTGAGGGTGTCGCTAACGACGTGCCTGTTGCGTGACGGTCAGTAGCCCTTTACGCATCTTTACATTTCCTGTTGCCGATTCCCAGCTGCCCGTGCAGGAACTGTCTATTTTATGTGAGTTCGACAAGAAAGCAGCCTAAAAAGAGATTTCTCACAGGCGACAACGGATTTAGAGCTCTGTTGGCGATAAACATAGCACAGATGCTGACTTTTGACGCTTCTGAGGTACTACATCCCCGACACGAGCATGTGGGCTGATAGCTGACGTCTAATTTCAGGGCATATCGCTTGTTGCCGTGGTTGTTGCGACTCTGGTGCGTACCGGCGTTCTGGTCAACCCGTTTTTGCTTATAGGCTAGCTATGCAGCCCCCGGTTCTCATCAATCGCTTCATGATCAACCTCCGGATGGCGGGCTCTGAAGTGTCGAACTACACTATGCACAGTGGTGATCAGCAACATCAGTCGACACTGCAGTTCGGAAGGACAACGGATCGGTTGGGCAATATTGCGGGAGTGCTGCAGGATGGTTGGAGCGATGAGCTCTATGACGAAGAGATTGACACTGCGGCAGTGGACGACAGCGCAGAAGTGGACGAGGAAGAAAGTTATGAGACGGGTGCCTAGGTATGAGCTAGTGTTCGAAATTGTACCATACCGCGTGGGTCCCGGCCTGCGCTCGCAAATATGTCTGGATAGAACGGCCTATTCGCAATTTATAAACGCAAGAAATATCATACTCTACTCGAGAATTTCACTCGCAAACCGGCCGTTCATAATCTCTCCGCCGCCGCCGCCGCCACATGGCCTAACTTCAGGCCTTGAACGGCGAGCTCTTTTTCGCCCCCTGCTTGAGCCGTGCGGATAAAGCTGTTCAAAGAGAGGTGTGAGCGTCCTTCTGACGGAGAAGTTAAATCGCTGCCAACCTCTGCGCCAGCTCTCCACACCTTCACAATATTAACACGGCCTTGCAAATTATGACTAGTACTATGCACAAATGTGATAACAACGGGAGGATAGAATGAAGGACGAAAAATCACTCTTGGACGTACTTGTAGCCGAGAGACTGATCAGTACTAGTCGCGCTCGAGAATGCCGGGTGCACATCCTCTATGCCGAGATCGACCCACGCCTTCAGGTCGTCGTCGGCATAAAGCAGTAAATCCTCGCCAAACCTCCGACACCCGAGAAATAGATTGCTCTTCGCGACATCCCTTCCGATCCGCTTCTGAATCGCCAGAAATTCGCGCACTCGCGTGAGCCTCTGCCCGGCGCAGAACGTCAGCATCGACACAACCACATACGCAGGCGGATGAAATACCGCGTTCGATGGGCGCACTGCGAGCTGCACTTTGTCATTCGGCCGGAAGCAAGCCATGTCAACGCCACACCAGGGAACGGCTCGTTTCGGCCAGAACTTGCAGATGCCTCGAGCACGCCGATAGTCAGCCTGGCGCGGGTGGAATCAGCAGGAGACA